GAGAATAAAATAATCCGAACCCGACCCGAATTTTTTTACCCGAACCCGACTTCGGGTCGGGTCGGGTGTGGGTTTATAATTTTACCCGACCCGACCCGAACCCGCACCTGACCCGACTCAAACCCGAATATTTAATAACATAAAAGCCTATCTATGGATATAATTAGCACTTCGTATAATCTCTTGACAAAGTGCTACTAAATCAAGTATGGTTTTTTTAATCATTTTTTATAATTCTTAATAAAAAATGAGACACAAAAAAGAGACACAAAAAAATTAGATTTAATCCTTTTAAAATTATTGGGGTACGTCGAATTGATTATTGGTTAAAAGTCGGGTTCGGGTCGGGTTCGGGTTTTGGATTGAAATGCCGGGTTCGGGTCGGGTCGGGTTTTTGACTTAGAATGTCGGGTTTCGGGTCGGGTTCGGGTTTCGGTTTTAAAAGTCGGGTCGGGTTCGGGTATAGTACTATCCGACCCGAACCCGACCCGTTGCCATCCCTACTTGTAACACCCCAGTTGTCGGCATGGCCAGTTGCGTACCACATCACTGACCGCGCCTAATCTCCGCTGCTCGCTAATGATGACGCCTAGGCAACCGCTGCCTAACTTTCGTAGCTACCGAGGGTCACCGGGGTAAACGGAATTCGAGGCCCGTCATTGTCGCCATCATCAATTTCCGACAATAGGACCACCTCGCTGCTCTTGGATACCACCGTCGCCGGGAAAAGGGTTGACGAATCTGCAGAGCTTGCCTCCAGAAGCTCTGCCCAGAGTTGCCGCTACTGGTCGGCGCCCAATCACCCTCGTCGCTGCTGAAGGTTGTCGGAATCATGGGGTACGGCTCGCTCGATCGCGTTAGTCCTGTGCATCGCCGGGAATCTACTTGTCTCGTCACTGCTTCGCCAGAATAGGGAGGAGGGAGATAGCCGAATCGAGGAAGATGGAGATTGCTCGATCTCGTCACTACTTGTCTTATTCTGATTTCAAAAAAAATAAGTAACAAGTAATAAGAATAATTTGAAAAGAACATGTTCTAGATAACTTAGACATGTATTCGTGACTAGGTTACATAGTTTTTAACATATAATTTGTATTTCTTTTAAATGAAATGATTTTAAAATATGTAGGGTATAACACATAGTGCAGAGAGTGAATTCTATTTTAAGATGGAGCAAGTACTCTATGACTTTTGACTTTTTTGTAAATAAAATTGATATTAGATATTGATATAAAAATAATTATATGAGATTTATTTTATAAAATAGTTTCAAAATATAATTTTGAGTAAATTCCATAAAAGGTGCCCAGTTATAGGTCGTTTTACATATTTGGTCACTACATATCAAATATTATTAATTTAGTCCCCAATTATTAGTCTTCTTGGTGGAACTTAAAATAAAAACCAATAAGCTGTATGGATGAGTTTAGACAAAATTAAGGAAGAATCAAAGTTAAGGACAAAATTAAGGAAGAATCAAGTCAATATTTTTTTAGACAACAACTTATCCCCAAATAGTATAGGAATGGGTGGATGGGTGAGATTTTGACATTGAAATGATAAAGGAGAGGGAGGGTCAAAAATTAATTTTAGTGGACCGCAAAAAACCAAAACTAGAAAAATCAATTCTATTCTTAAAAGCAAGGGAAATTGGTCCAGTCGTTTTCCCTTCCAAATTGTGAACCGTAGATAAGCCAATCCATCTTGATCAATGGTTGAGCTTAATTTTTAGAAATAAATTAACATTTCCATATATAATTGTGATTAATTTCATTCTTGGAAGTAAGTCATTATTTACATCTTTAAAGCACAAAGGCACATAAAATATTTATTATTAGCATATAATATTCTTCCTTATCATGTTTAAAGTAAGTCAGGTCATTTAATCAATGGAAATATTCTTGCTTATTAATTTGGAACAATTAAGAACTCATTATCAGTGTATTAATGGAAATAATAAAAAATATTTACTATTGAGAACAATTAAATAATGGAAATATTTTTTCTTACTAATTTCAAGAAGTAAATCAACATTTCCACATATAATTCTTTTTAATTATTAAAATTCTTTTTGGAAGTAAATCGATGTTTTCATATATAACAATGATTGGTAATTAATATTATGAATCCATACTTTATTTAAAAAGAGGGGGAACACAATCCTCGTTGTGTTTTCCCTTGCAATAGTGTTAGGCATTAAATTTCGTAATTGTGAAGTTTAATTGGCAATCTTTTAATATAATAAAGGAGACTCGGATGCACAGAAATTCGACCTTTGGCATGTTTATGTGGAAAAATTTAAACACGTCAGCACGCCACATAATATCCGAGTAAACCAACAGATATCCTTTAATATAAATGTTGGGTTAAGGAACCCGGGGGCTTAGGAAGCTAAGCGGAAGAGTATCGAACTAAGTCGAAGAGTGCACAAATATGAGGTCAAGTAAACTGAGGGTATTATTGTGCTAGTTAGAATGTAAGTCCGGAGCGTGTCGAATGAGCTCCCTCCCCTTTCCTCTTCCAAGAAGAGGGATATATATAATGGGAGAGTTAGGGCTAGGGTTTACATACACAAACCAATGGGCCGGCCTAACAGGCTGGGCCACCCTAAATAAGTAATTAATAAACGACTAACGGGCCGATCGCACAAACTGGACCGCCTTGACTAATATTATACAAAGACTGGATACCCTTGTCCAGGGTATCCATCACGAGTCCCCCACTTCCCGAGCCAAGAGGAACTCGAGGTGAAGTCGAAGTAGAATAATAATCTACCATAGGACACCGTCTTCCTTGGTTTCTAGGGCACTGCCAACTCGCTGTCCCGAGCACGGGGAATGAAATCGCCCCAATAAGCATGAAGTGCACTGCCGACCCACTGTCTGGAGCGGCGAAGCAAGGAAAAACACACAATATGCTCATTGTCTTGAAATGATTTGCTCTCGTACAAAGTGCATCGGTGTCTTAATGTCCAGAGCACAGCGATCACCATAAGAGTAGGTGAGGAAATCGTCATTTACAGTCCATTTGTCGTCTTCAAAAATCCTCCCACAATCCCGTCAATGTGTGACCCACTCCACGAGGGATGCCTCATTAAAAACTTGCCGAGGAAAAAACCAATGAGGATGGGAAAAAATCCTCGGTCAAGAAAAGAGTACATCTCGTCCCACAAAGTGGATCAAGAAAACATTGCTAGGGGGTGAGGTCTTCTGTATGAATCTCAAAAGAGGTGATCTTCAAGTCCCCCGGACTCGTTGTCCGGAGTCGAGGGCTATTCATCATAGTGTATTGCCGACGAGTGCATGTGCACGCGTACTGTTGCAATCTGATACAAGGTCAGGATGTCGATCACGAAGCTCTCTTGTAATAATTATGAGCCGAGCACCCGGAGTCCCCCACTCCCTAAGCCGAGGAAGAATCCTGAGGTGAAGGGGAGTAGTGTCCATGTTGGCTCCGGTGGGAGTCTCTGGCCCCTTCACGAGATGGCCGAGGCCGAGGCCGAGCTTGAGTGGCTGAAGGCCGAGATCGAGTGTCCCACGAGATGGTCGAGGCTGAGCTCGAGTGGATGGGCCAAGCTTGACCTTCTCATCCCTCTAACCTGCAAAATAAGTTCAAAAAAGAACACAAGGCACTCGCGGGCTCGGGTGGACCGATCACCACGCGGCCAAGAAAGAAAGTCAACGTATTATTTGGGTCGAAAGTTTTGGAAAAAAGATGGGCCTGGTCAACAGAGTGTGCTGATCGTGTAGTAGTCTGGTCTAGAACAAACCTTGACGTCATCCTTAGTGAGACCGGGGTCTACAAATGAGAGCAACTTGTGTAAGTGAGATAGGCACAAATAATGCACCCCTCGCCTTAGATCCAAGAGCAAATAGTTCACGTCGTGGAAGACGGATATATAGGAGTGCGTTGAAATGGACAGCTTACATCAGCCTCGCAAATAGTATCGTCGCGTACGATTTGGAGTGCCTCACGAGGAGGGCTTACCTCAACCTCGGCCTCGTGGGAGAGGAAATGAGATTGTATCGTGGAAGGCGGATGGGAGTGCATCGCGGTGGATGGCTTACCTCGGCCTCGCGATAATATCGTCGTGGATGATCTTCTACACCTTGTAGAGAGGTTTTACCTGGCCTCGCTAAGGAATGACTAAATGAGTTGGATATGAGCCATGCCCTAAGGCGAGTCGCTGGCCTGTGTGGGGTATGAGATTAAGCTTCGCACTCGTCCCACATCAAGGCTTAAAGTGTTGAACACAAAGTGTAATACCATTGTTCAAGTGAGGTCCGATCACATGTGGTGGACAAGGTAATAGTAATAATAATGGAGTAAATGACAGAAATTACCATATTGAAATGATGGTAAATATAATACTACCTCCGTCCCGTGAAACATGGGACATTTGCTTTTTAGGAGGGATTTAAGGGAGTGTATTTTGGTATTGAATTTCCAAAAATGTTCTTTGATGTGATGGGTAAAAGTATGATTTGATGGATAGATTATTAGTAAAAAGGTATGATGTGATAGTTAGGGTATGAAAAAGTAAGGGGTAAAAGTGACTTTCTAATAGAAATGAGAAGTGTTTTGTGGGACGGATAAAAAAAGAAAGGGGAAATGTTTCACGGGACGGAGGTAGTAATAAATATGGAATAGTTGAAATGAGGTGTAAGGTGTAAAAGACTTATCTTTTTCCTTTTCTTTTGCACCGTCAAAAGTGTTTCTCCTCCATGGGGTAGAGTGCCCATCATGCGTGTGGGGTACCGTCCATCCAACACACTACCACAATCAATGGGGGTAGTTTCCCGCAGGAGGAAAAAGTTTGGGAATAAATTCCTGAATGTAGGATTATATTCCTGATAGGGAAGATCGGGATTCAATATGCCGAATTTTTTTTTAAAATAGGGCCTACAAAAAACGGGATTCAACATCCCAATTTTTCTGAAAAAGTTTTTCACTTTTGCAGGTAAGATTCCAACTTTAGGCATGTGAGAATGCTTTTTTAATGCATTATAATACTTACTCCATATATCTATCCGTATGAGACCATCCTTCAATAGCAAAGTTAGATGTTTTTTTCATCTTCTTCTTCTACAACTATCAAATTATATGATAATATAGCCAAAAAAATATATTTTAGATTACAAGATTTAAGAATCCAAAAGAGTAAAAGAAGATCTTCTTCTTTTGGAAGGTATGTAGTGTTTTACTTATCTTTTTTTGTTTCATTAGCTATTTAATTATTTAAAAGTCCCTCCATTCCCTTTTCTATTACAATTTTTTTTCGATAACTTAAGTTTAATTCTGCAATTCATTAAGTATTTGATAAAATAAAAGAATATTGTCACCTCTTGTCTTTTAGAACTTTTGACGTAGTTTTTTAATTAGAAATTTTTATTTCTTATTAATATACCAATTTATAAATTAAATGATTTCAAAAAGTGAAAATAAGTGAGAATATGATAAAGTAGAAAAAAAAGTGACAGAAGTTGTATTTAACAAATAACTTATTTTATATGTATTAGTGTGATGGATGAAGTGCAAAGAGATCTCGCTGGACCAAAAAGTTTAGAAATATTAAATTTACAAGCGGCTCATCGTTCTCTCCGTGTTTGGAATGACCCGACATATATTGATGCAAAAGTAGAACCGTGTCGGTATGATGGTCATATCCCTACAAATTTTACAGACCCAAGGGTTATTGAGAATCTACGTAGAGCTGGATTTTATGGGGTCCACCGAGTTCATCCCATTAAATTAGATCATGGCCTCATCACTGCATTGATGGAACGTTGGAGGCCTGAGGTACATGCATTTCATTTCCTATTTGGAGAAATGGGTATAACTTTACAAGATGTAGAGTGTCTTATGGGGTTGCCAATTGATGGTTTTCCTATTCTGGGTGCGCCACCCATGACTCCCGAAGAACGAGATGCAGCTTTTCGTACCATTCTAGGTTGGGAGCCAAATGAGGCACATTTTGGACGTCCAGACCAGTTTAAGATTCCTTTGTTAAACCGCGGGTTGCAACCAAATG